GAAAATACTAGGCACACACTGACAAAAGGTTGGGCAGAATGAAACAAGGCCATATCCATCACAGGCAGCCCCAAATATTCAGATTAGTGCTACTGAAAAAACTCTTATTTAAGGTTTTTAATTGGAAAATTCCAATTACAATTCGTCCCAATCCAGAATATGTGATTATAGTCATGAGGTGAAGGCATCATTTTACTTCTAACCTTGATTAGAGCAAAGCAGTGACTCATGCCTGGCATTCTGAAGAAGTCAGACGAAGAGTTGGAACGCCGTCTGAGAACAGGGATTAACCGTCATCTGTCCCTCAGGTCATTTTGACTCGAAAATGATTTTCAACAAAATTTAAAAAATCGTGTGTTGATCGTACCGGTCCAAGATTTCTTTACTTCTTAATACACAAAAAAAATTGAGTGGATTCGAGGAGGTTAAATGGGTGCAATAAAAAAAGTAACAAAAGTGTCCCTCACGAGTCATTTTGACCCACATAGGAATGAATGGAATTTACGAGAAAACTGCATTTTTTATTACATTAGATTTTTTTTGATATACAAAATCTGAGACAGTCCAGTAAAGATTTATACCCAAACGAAGGGCTGAGACTACAGAATATCCCCAATGCAGAAAAAACTCACACACACATGCACAAACACACACATGGTACACACACTCCCATAGAACACATTATAATATGCTTCATGTTTCTGCTGTAATTTTTCAAAAAAATGTTTGACTTTAACACAGTTGACTTTAACACAGTTAAATTTGAGTGATGTGGTGGAGACCAATGAGTTTATATCATATTTATATTTTTAAAAATATATTATACTGTATATGTATTTCATATTTATGAAATTGTATTAATATACATATGTTTAGGTTATAATTCAGTTATAATTGTATTTTTTTTTTTTTTTACAAAATATGGATTTTGTAATGTTTCAATATATATTTGAATCCATAAACAACCAAATTGAAGCCTCAAGATTATCTAATTTCTCATGTTTCACTTGTTTTGCTTAGTTAAAAATCTCCATAGGATACTACAGGCCCCTCTATTGGCTGTAACCATAAACTGAAATTTTATGTCATTTTTCCCCACCAGATGGCATCAGAGACACTCAGTGACTCAATTCCAAGGCCATCTGTTGGTTTTTGATGAAACGGGACTGAAATTGTCATTATTTGTTCTTGTTTTTTTTGGTGAAATAAATGTACAAAAACTGCTTATTTTTTTCTCAAAAATATCCAGAATAAAAGGTAAATATAATAAAAATTACCAAAAAAGAATAGAAAAACCTACATAAATATTTAGAAAAACAATTATAAAAATGGATCAATATAAGATTTCTGGACCAAAAACAAATTAAGTGTCATTTTTAGCCTTCGGGTCATTTTGACTCACGAAGGACACTTTTGTTATAGGTTCGGGAGGGACGAATGAGGGTTAAAGCTAACATATCCCCAATAACATTGAGGAATTGAACCGCAAACATGGACAGAGGCCTCTAAAAACATAAATACATACTACAGTGATGTATATGTAGGCTATTGTATGTTTAATATGAGTAATGTATTGTTTGGAGTCTGAACATACACTACAAATAGGTGTATTTGATCATACCTGACATTATTATTTTAATTTTGGAATAGTGCAATCAATTTAGATAATAAATGTCACTTGCCTCATAAAGCATTTGAGAGGTTTCATAACACTATTATCCTTTATCATCTGAGGATACATATTATAATAATGGTTTATCATCTGTCTGTGAATAAAAAGTTATTGGGCTGTTAATATACTGAAATGTTGTTTACTTTGGTTATTATTGCCCAGGGCAAAGTATTTTAGTATACTAATTCGCTCAGACCTATTTTCCCTTGTGAAAAAGAAGTGTGTTTAATTGTATTTAATGTGCACTTCAAAAAATAGTGTAGTGTACTTGAAAAGTATATATTAAAAGTATATATCTTGAAAGTATATATTAAAAAAAACAACATTGTGTTTCTTAACAAATTTTTAAAAAGTGCACTTTATAATAATGCCAAATTAAAAGTTTCCTTTACGTATATTTTAAATCCTGTGTTTCAATAATCTTTTGTCATGCTTCAAAGAAGTACACTTACAAAAGCCAGACTAAATTGCCCTGACACCTCAGCCCCTAGGACATTTTTATTTTAGTGTGTAAACAATCGTAAAAAACTGTAAAGCATACAGACCCTAATATTACAGCATTTTTAAAATCTTTGTTAATGGATTTATGGCAGCAGCATTAAACAGTCTATGTAAAAGACACCTAAATGCCACTTCAGAAGCGATTCTGTGCCACCTTTGCAGTGTACATTTAGCAATATAGCATATTCTTCACAAGGATTAGTCAATATATTTTACTTACGAGGCTGTAAGGTATCCTTCAAGGTATCCGGCCAAAAAGTATGTAATTTCATCGCACTCCTGGAATTGTCCATAACCAGCCTGCACTTCCAGCACTCCCCATCCAGAAACAAATAAACTATCATTGAAATAACCAAATGCATCTCCCTCCTCTTCCATTGCATCCTCTTTCAGCACCACAGACCTTTGAACAGCATCCCAATATACGGTGGCTCTCCGAACATCTGACAGCGCACAATGACAACAGAGATCACACATCAGTAAGCGTTAGGGGTTTCATATGGTTGATGTATTTTTATAACATCTGATAGCGCCTCGTTTGGTAACCAATAATTCCCAAATAGGGCAACCGGTACGCTGCAGCTGAGTCCTTAACCATCTTCAAGAAACGACTAAAAACACATCTGTTCCACCTTTATTTGACCCTCTAACTCTAGCACTTTCTATTCTATTTTAATTCTACTTTATCTATATTTATCTTCTTTTTTATTTAAAAAGCAACAACAACAAAAAACTAACAAACACTAGCTTTCTATTTTTTCTATTCTATCTACTTGTTTTTCTTTGTGTGTGTGTGTGTGTGTATATGTGTGTGTGTGTGTATGTATGTATGTATGTGTATATATATATATATGTGTATATGTGTATGTATATATATATATATGTGTATGTATGTGTGTATGTATATATATATGTGTATATGTGTGTATATATATATATATATGTGTGTATGTATATATATATATATATATATATATGTGTGTGTGTGTGTTTGTTTGTATGTATGTATGTGTGTGTA